GCTGATTAGAATAGCACTTCCAACACAAACGCTTTTGTAGTACTATTTTTCGTCGCTCTGCTCCCTTGATGGGAGATCTACACTGCCAGGAGTTATGGCCACTTTCCTCACAAATTGCGCAGGATTGGGGTTGACTTGCATTTTTATAGCCAAGCTCCTTTCTCTTTATAGGAGCCGAGTTCAGCCGCGCTTGTACATATGCTTTTGTTGCTATTTCAGCTTCAACCATTTCCAGAACTGTTTCTACGGTGGTATCTTCTTTTTCCCGCATTTTCATGAGCACTGGCTCAACTATTTCTTGAGGAAATTTACCCAAGATGGTCTCAATCCACATGGCGTCGTTCGTATTGCGAATGTCTTGGCCAGCGGAAATCATCTGATTCAGTAACATGCATATTTGATCAAACACAGCTTCGTTACTTTCTGCGCTTCTATCCGCTTTTTTCAGGTTATGGAGCTTCCTCACGATGCGTGCTCGGTTCACTGACTTGTTACCATATTTTTTTGTCAGCAGCTGCACCATCCATTCGTAGTTTTGTGGGAAGAATTGAATCCCTTTTATCGCCTTGTCAGATGTTCCTCTTAGACTGTCCTTCAATAGGAGCATTTTCTCAATAGTTGTTAAAGCGCGATTCTCATGAACCAAGGTTTGAAAGGCTGCCCAGAATTCAGGGAAGTCTTCATCTGCGCCGTAAAACTTTGGAAGGCTTATTGGTGGTATGGGAACGTTGATAAACGCGCGCGAAGTCGATTCAGCATTCGACCGAAATTCTCGATTGTGTTGTGAATCGTTTTCTGCGCAGCTGAATGTCTGTTTGTTGCGCTTTGTTCGAGCGAAGTTAGTCCGAGCTTGCGCGCTAACCTTTTCTCGTTACTCTTTGTCTCTGTCAGCCTGGTGGCCAACATGAAGCTTAGTTCTGCTGCCTCGCTCATGACTTCAGTGAACTTCGACTCTTTCTCAATGGCTTCCATCGCGGTGAGAATATTTTTCTTGTCCTCTTTGTTTTTTGTGTTGTCATATTCAGTTTTCATTTTGTCGATGCTCAGCTCTTGTAATCTCGACATGGACTATAGTAACTTCGATTCGTTCTCGATTCTCTTGTAATCTCGACATGGCTATAGTAATTTGGTCAATGCTTCCTTTTATAAGGTCGATTGCCGTAACACTCTCTTCATGTTGTATGTGAAGATCATCCGAATATTTGACCTCTTTCGTATAGTCTTTAAAGTTAGCAATCAGCGCTTTCTAAGCAGCGCTGATTGCTAACTCAAAAGCAATCAGCGCTTTCGCTTCCTCTCGCTTTCGCTTTCTTTTCTTCTTTCTAATTCTTCTCTTCCCATAAACTATCGATTCCATCAATGTATCGTTCGATGTTGACCTGTGCGGGTCATCGAATCGGAAAAAGTTTCGCCTTCACTGGTTTATGAACCTGATTTTGAATCAGAGATGTTCCTGACCCACTGGTTGAGGAACCAGATTTTTGAATCAGAATATGTTCTGACTCACTGGTTTAAGAACCAGATTTTTTCACCTTTCTAAACGTGTTTAACACTGTTTAGAAAAGAGGGGTTCAGTGGCAGAAGTTTATTCCTCAAACAACAAGAGCTAAAAGCAAAGATTCACCACTCATCTTCCACTCAACTTATATACGGCTTAAGGCCTTCGTCAAAAAATTAAATCGAGAAATCGAAGCGCCGATATTTGCGAGACACAAAAAGATCGCGCATACGTGGGGATAATCTAGTTTCAGATGAAAAATGCAAAGTCTGCAAAGCAGATAGGTTTTTTGGTAAAGAATGAAGCGTCAATCGGTCAGTTGGTACGGCAGACACTTCACGCGTAACCATATGTGTTGAAACTAGCAAAAACCACAAATACAACCAAAAGAAGCGTTGCGACAAAGTAAACAATCGGGATCCTAAAAACGACGAAATAAGTAACGTTATGCGACGAAACACACGGAACAACACTAAAATAAAATCGGAAATTGGGGTGGGTAGTTGAAGCCAGTCTCCGTAAAGCTTGATATACATGTGAATGACAATACATCGAAACAACCAGAAACAAAACAATTATATTTAAAACATTGACAAAGAGCAAGAACGGATAGGACAAACAATACGATAGAAAGCAGGAAAAACTGAACAAACTGTATAGAAAAACCGGCCAAGGAGTAAAAAAGGAAGGACAACATCTTTATCATGCCATAGAACCATATGGAATTGTCCAACAAGTAAGGAGGATCAACAGCCAAATATTATTCTGTACAATAACGAATATACAAATATCTTACAGTCAACCCACTGCAGAAAACCCAATAGGTCGTCGTACAAATAAGCGACAAAAGTGTAAAAGAAATAAACACACGATCGCAAACCATATTGAAATAAAAACACAATATAACATACTAACCAAATTCAAGCAGATCCGGCTAGCATGGATCGTAGTTACACCACATCAGCTAAGAAGAAAGTGAGAGAGAGAAAGCAAAGCACTATCATTCACTAAAGTGTGTATAGCACGATATACCATAGTCAAATTAGTTGATTCCACTAATTGGTATCTATCTTGCATGTGATGGCGCGATATACGGAGGTTATAGTGCAACGTTTTCCCAGTGTGGGCTCGTAGTTTCAAATTAATCATCTAAAGAAATACCGATACTTCTTCCACGATAGCGAGTTACAAGCTTTTTAGATCTTTTCGACCTAGTTAGTGATGAACTTTTATTTATAGTCAGGGGTACCATGGTCCATAGACCTGAAGAATCCATAAACATGAATTTAGAACAGAAGTAAGGTGTCTTGAATCGAAAGAACTTACACTAAAAGTGTTGGCTATGACCTGATCCGTACCCTCCATTTCCAAGGAATGATACGAAAAAAAAAAAAACCATGGAGTCATCACCAGAAAACAACCACGAAACAATTCTTGAGCATCGAAACTAGAGGGCCGATTTACTCCGCTGAGGAATAAAGTATTACCAGGAAAGTCATTAGCGGGCGTCACGCTCTTTCTTTTGGAAAGCTACTTCTAGCAGTAACTCCCGCTACAGTGCGCAGTGAAAAGTACTCTGCAGTAACTGCATGCACCCTCCGTCACACCCAGCGAAACGGAGAAACACGTCAAATCCAAGACCAAAGTGCTGCTGCCAGTAAATCGAGGCTGGGCAAGACCAAAAATTTTCAACATTTGCAACTCATAGAGAAGAGCAATCCTACCTTGAGATTTGTCATACTTAGATATATCGATCTCGAGCATATTCGTATAAGAACGAAACCGCCGTCAGAAGCCGATAAGTTCAAATTTTTTCTTAACTCGGGGGATCGGGAGTGCCATATCTGGTATAACTAACTATAAAAGAATCACTAAGCACCGACAAATCCTCCGCTTAATCTCACGCACCAAAGGACAAAAAATTGCGTCAACCAGCTTCTCCATATGAGCTATAGTTTGTGGTGATGGATTTTTCATATCAGCTCCTAGTTCCAATTTAGGTTTGGGTAAAGCTTTCAGAATGTAGTTGTATTTATCAAGTTCTTTCATTAGGATGTTATAATCTTCATCATTATAAACCATGTCTTTCACCTTGCTGCGGTTGTGAATGCAGCCACTGATCCACCGAATCGAAATTAACGGTGACAGGTCTTTCTGTGTAATAAACCATAAGTTCTTTATTGGCAACAAAAGTTTCGACAAAAGACTCTGTCAACATAATAGCAACGGCTTTCTCATCACAGACAGTTGACAACTCAGAAACACACCCATTCCTATCCATAAAAGCTTTTATCATATTCTTTTGAGTTTGACGTTGTGCTTTAGGACACGCAGTATGCAAAACTGGTGTCAACGAATCGTATTTGCGTTTCCCGGCTCCGAGTGTATCAGTGATATGCAACTCTGCCATATTAAAATAAACCGACGTGTAAGTCGTGAATTTCCACAACATCGTGAGTTGAATTCAGGCGTTCATCGTTGTATGGGTGACGTAAATACAGTCCCGCTGTCTCCGGCATTCATGTCCGGTGGTACATCCACGATGTTTCGTGACATACACGTTCAGTGACGCCGAATGGAATGCGGATGACGTCGGAGGAACAGCGGCGATCATCTTGGTAGCCGTGTGGACTGACTTCAATGGCGAGCGTGTTCATATTCTGTTTTCTAGCGCAGCTTCTCTTAAGTTCGACTGTTCTGCGTCCCAGCGCTTGCGCGCGCACCCTGAGGTGTGACTTCTTTGATGTAAGTCGTACGGAATTCACCACACCATGTATTGCAACCATTGATAATATTGATCTAAGGGCAGCTTGTCGTTTAGACAAGAAAGTGCCTAAGTAGTGGGATCAATTCCGTTGTAAGCTCTGATAGCCGATGCCATCTCATGCCATTTAACGCCATGCTTTGATTGGTAACACTTTACACAGATAAGTTCAAGGATACCGTCGCTCGAAGTGCTTGTGCAGGCAGAACAGAATCACATATCATGCTACGAGAGGGAAGAACAACGCCGTGAGCAAAAGTAAGCTTTATCCTGCGTGGGTGGTCTCTTTTTATCTGCTGCTATACCACACATTAAGTGAAAGCACGTGAAACACACAAACATAACGCACAAACGATATGCAATATTCAACAGCTCCTCATTTATGCGCTGGCCCTGGTGCTTCCCTAAACAACAAGATCCCAACGACATACAGCACACGAAATTGACTTGCCTTGACTTCAGGAGCCTTTCTTGTTTTCACATTCCAAATGGCACTGTGCTCATATCCTCTTTCCATCGTGAGAATCTTCGGTAACAGAACTCTTCGATAGTGCACTCAGGGCACGAGTCCGAGTAATGTTATCCTATTTTTCCGGCCAAGGGCGCCAACTTTATGCATTTTTTTATTCTGACAGACATTGGCCCAATGAATTCACTGTTTTGCTTCCTCTATTGTCTGTTGTAAACGACTTTGTCTTTCATGTTCAGTCCAGAAAAAAGGGCAGATGACGGTGTTCCCACAGTTGAACATCTACTGAGCACGCTATAGCCAATTAAGAACGGCGATTGGTCGAATGCATGTGCGTACCTCCTAGCTCGTACTGGCGTCGACCATGGCCAACTGATGTCTGTCACGTTGCTGTTGCTAACTATGGCGCACAGAAAGTAAATATAGAATAGACATCAAAGAAGCATCGCGAATCAGACCGACACTCTGTGTAAGCAAGAATAGAATATACTGGTGAACCAGGAATTCATAATGGAAATCATAATGTGGAATTATATTGGAATATAGCATTGCAGTTCCGATCGATGTGCGCTTAGTCATTGCTACGCAAAGTGCAAGCAGGCAGGTCGTATAAAAAACTGCGCGCACGTCAATAGTAGATTGGAGCCTTGCAGACTCGCAAATGTGTCGAAATATCATCCCAAATATATTTTTGCAACTTACATACATACATACCATACATATGACTTGAATTTAGTCGTAGGTTGGTTGGTAATTCAATTTCATTGAAGACACTATGAAATTTTTTAAGTATCTAGTCTCTTCTCGTTACTTTATTCGCAGAATGAGTAGTGGGTTTTCTATATTCCTTCACATTCCTTGTTCAATAGTTTTATAGCTGAAAGCCTGTAATAAATATAAACGGAACTGTACCAGCATTCATTGGTGTGCTGCCCATAACAGATATCGATTTCACCCGCGTATCAAGGAATAGATGACCTGTTGTAGAAATTGATGATCTTGTCTCCCATCTCAAATTCTGCTGCCTGATAGCCAGTCTACACTTCCGGCAACGCCGAAGGAAATAATGGAGTTCACCATAATGTAATGTAAGCATCCTTCTATCATAAAGCAGCAGAGGAGAGAAGGGAATGAGAGAGGGCGACCAACCGCCATACATATCCCTCTATTGGGTTGTCCAGAAGGTAATGTGAGTTTCTGACCTCTGTCTTAAACATATTATATCTCAGCTCAAATCTTTTTCAAAATCACATTTTCAGTCAGCTAAAGAAGGATTGTGAACTACCCGTCATCTCCATGACGAAGCAAGCTGAACTAGTGAGCAAAACTTGAGTATAGTGCCCGTGGAAGCGCAAGAAATCGTTGAAAGTCATTTCCACCATGTCTCGATTTCACAAAGTTTTTGTGTCCAGTTAACTATCGAGAAGGTTGAAAAGTGGAAATATATAAGAGAGAGATCCTATGATTGCATCAGGTGGAGCGAGGCTGAATAGGTCGATTCGTGCATTATTTGGAAGATCGTTTGTGCGACATGTGGACGGGCGTCAACATGGAGAAAGGTTCTTTTCCTTCTCCTGGTTGACAGACCTTGCTCTTTACGGAGCTTCACGTTCGTGTGATAAACAGACATTCGGTATTAGAACAAGTTCACCTGGTTCAGAAAGCTGCGATGCATCATTACTGCGGAAGACTACAAAACCGCAAATATGGTCCTCACCTTGTGGGAGTTCCGCTTCAAAATTTTTTCAAGATTCATCGTTGTCTATATGTTAAGGAAATTCTCCACATGTCTTGCAAGAGACCTGTTTTACTCGAGTATTACGAAATATTCCAGAAGTCGGTCATCTTCGCTACGTAAAACGAGATTTGACGAGACCTTTGAATGGTGAGTTTGCTGTTGTTCACTTAAAGGCACAACCCAGGCAG